GCAGCCTTGACCTGCTGGGCTCCGGCGATCCTTCCGCCTCACCCTTCAGAGTAGCCAGAATTACAGGCATACGCTACCATGCCCGGCTGATTTTTTTTTTTTTTTTTTTTTTTGATTTATTGTAAAGATGAGGTCTCACTGCCCAGGCGGGTCTCGAACCCTCAGGCTCAGGCAATCCACTCACCTCAGCCTCCCAAAGGCACGGGATTACAGGATGAGCCACCGAGCCCTGTAGGAACCTGCATTTAACAAATGGCCCAGGTGACTCTGATGTGTTTAAGGGTTGCACTTTGAGGAACATCAGCATAGGACATTATCACTTTTAAAAGTCCAGATGAGACCTTTGTGATAAGAGTTCTGTATCTTCGCAGTGGTAGTGGTCCCATGAATATACACACGTGATTAAAATGGCTTACAACTAAATGTTCGTGTGATCATGTGCACACACACACACGGAAGAGTGCATGTAAAACTGGTAAAATTGGAAGAAGGTGGGTGGGCTATACCAATGTCACTTTCCTGGTTGTGGTACTGTGCTGTAGTTGTACAAGATGTTACCATGGGGGAAACCAAGTGAAGGGTATACAGTATCTCCCTGTGTTATTTCTTACAACTACATGTGAACTTACAGTTATCTCAAAGTAAAAAAAAAAAAATTAAGTCCCAGGTGGGAGACTCAGGCCTGACCTTGACCCCCGATGGGACGAGACCTGGGAAGGGTTCAGAGGAGCCATTCAGAGGAAAATAAATTTTCTCTTAACCTTGCCTCCTCATCCCCACCCTCATCCTGGGATACTGTAGTCAAAGTGTGTGTGTGTGTGTGTGTGTGTGTGTGTGTGTGTGTGTGTGTAGAAGGTGCAGAAGAAACCATTTAAATGCTGAATTATGAGATTAAGAGCCTTGAGGAGTTTTTATTTTTTAGTTTGCATACATTAAAGCTTTCTCTTTGTGCTGTGCAGTTCTCTGGGTTTTGACAAATGCATAGAATCATGCATTCGCCACCCCAGAACCATACAGAGCAATTCCATCACCTTAAATATTCACTTGTGCATCCCCTTTGTAGTCAGCCACACTCCTCTCCACCAACCCCCGGCAACCACCGATGATGAATTAAATTCTAAAATGTAAATTGAATTATAAAAGGTAAAAATGTGGGGGAAGATACTGCAAACAGATGGTACATCAAAAACAGAAGAATAGAAGCTGTTTTGAAAAACGAATAACCTAAAGTAACACGATACTGTGCCTCAGCCATTTGCGTGGGCTACAGTGGGTGGTCTATAAATGTTGACTGGTTGGTTGGTTGAATGAATGAACCATGGGATCTTGAGCAAGTCTCCAAGCCTCAGTTTCCTCACATATAAAATGGGAGTGGCCCAACTGTGGGTTTATTTATTTATCCATCAACACACGTTTCTGAGTTCCTACTATGTGCCTGGCACCATCCTAGGGACTAGGGAAATAGTGGTGAACAAAACAGTCCAGGATTCCTTCTCCTGCATTGCTTATATTTGAGAAGAGAGACAAATAGCAATAAAGAAAGAAAGAAATTGTAAAGATTACTAGGAAAAGATAAATATCAGGGACAAAGCTTCGTAGGGTAAGGCAGATCCAAGTGTGAGGGAGACTGTATTTTCAAATAGGATCACTGGGAACTTTTGAGCCAACCTTGAGTAAGAATGCTGTCATCCAGGAAAGACTGCTTCAGGCAGAGGTGGGAGTATGCCGGGTGGGAAAATGCTCCAAGAAGAGCCAGAAGGCTCGTGAGGCTGGAGGCAGCAAGGGGAGAGTGCAGGGAAATGGGTCAGACAGGCAGCAGGGGCCAGATGGCCGAGCATCTTGCAGGCCATGGCACTTTTATTCCTGGTGAAATGGGAAGTCAACTCAGGGTTTGAGCAGAAGAATTACATGATCTGACTTACGTTGTTGTGGTGGCATTAAATTATTATATTAAATATTTAAATGAATATTAACTATTTAAAAGGGCTGGCAAAGAGCCTGGAACATGGCCTGTCTTCTGCCTTTCTAGATCCGTAAATGGGGCAGTCATTAACTTTTGCGCAGGGGTCCACAGGCCTGGGTAGGGAGGTCACAGGTCCATTTGCGTCGCTGGCGCCCTCTCCTGGGAGGAGCCCACGCTAGCTGTGACAGGTGGAAGCTGTCAGGCTCCGCCCAGGCCAGTCACTAAGGGCAGCTGGCAGCAAGGCACTTGTCTGTCCCCCAGCCTGGGCCCCACAGTGCCCCACAACCTGGCGCCGGGCTGAGTGTATGCGCTGCCAGTCTGCCCTGCCTTTTGATCACAAGCCTATGGTGTCATGGAAAGAGATCTGGGCTCCAGAGGCCAAGGAGCCTGGGGCCCAGTCTTCCTTTGCTGCAGACTGCTGTGTAGCCTTGGCAGGTCACCCCACCTCTCTGGACCATGGGATATCACTAGAGATAGTGATGTATCACTTTCCTGGCATATGTGAAAATCTCTGTAAATGTTCACTGAATAAGTGAATAAAGTAGGGGTCATCAGCCCTTCCTGGTGAATACTTAATTTAGAGAAAAGTAAGTGAAAGTGCCCAGTGGGTTTTCTCTCACCAAGTATTTAAATATTTAATGGGCACCTACTATTCTTCTGGGAACTCTTCTGGGCACCAAGATACAATAGTAAATACAATAGATAAAAACCCTACCCTCGGTAGCTGACATTTTAGTTGTTAAACCAAAGGTCATGGATGTATTTGCATATGTGCCCTGGGCAAGCTTGTGGTGAGAGGAAGGAGGAAGTGGGTAAATGGGTAGAATAAAGCAGAGGGCTCAAAGGACCGGGGGTGGGAAGGTAGCCAGAGTGGACAGACAGGTAGAAAAGTGCTGGCTGAGCCCTCATTCCCAGAACAGGGACCTCTCTGTCTTCACAATCCTTCCTGCTCCACCCCCTCAGTGGGGTCAGAGCTGGTCTAGGCCAGGTCCTTCGGGTCCTGTGGGAAGCTGGTCAGCCTTCTGTGAGCGCTCTTATTTCTCCGTGTTCAAAGTGTTGTAGAAGACACCAGAGCATCCCAAGGGGCAGGGAGAGACCTTGCCACGGAGCTGTGTGTGGGAGGGGTAGGGATGGCAGAGGGGTACATTTAAAATCTGGTTGTATGTATATGACCACATGAGACCCAAATATTTTGGGGGTGTTTTTGTCCATTGCCTGGGTTTCCTTGGTCACTGCCCAGCTACCAAGGAGACAGGCAGAGCTTAGTACAAGAATTTCTGCCGGGCTTGGTGGCTCAGCCTGTAATCCTGCACCTTGGGAGGCTGAGGTGAGCAGATTGCCTGAGCCCACGGGTTTGAGACCCGTCTGGGCAACTTGGTGAGACCTCATCTCTACAGTAAATCAAAACATTAGCCGGGTGTGGTAGCGTGCACCTGTAGTTCCAGCTACATGGAAGACTGAGGCAGAAGGATCGCCGGAGCCCAGCAGGTAGAGGCTGTGGTGGCCGGGAGCGGCCACTGCACTCCAATCTGGGCGACAGAGTGAGACTCCAACTCAAAAAAAAAAAAAAAAAAAAATTTCTAGTTCGAGGAAGGTTCTGCTCAGAGAATCCTTCCCCTTGGTGGAGAGAGGGTGATTCTGGGCCTTCTTTCTTCTCTGAGAACAAGTAGGTAGTAGTCACAGGAGACAGGGGTACTGGGAAGGGCGGGCTTCCTTTCAGAGCTGTCCACAGCTGGAAGGGGCCACCATGGAAGTAGTGAGTTCTCTGACTCTGGAGACATTCAGGCAGAGTTTGATGAATGCTTTTCAAAGATGTTGGGGCAAGGCTGGGAAGGAGATTTCTGTCCCATGAGAGTCGTTGCCTGGGAGACTTCTGAGGTCTGATTCTGAGAGTCTAAGATCCCCACATTTCCTCCACCTTAGTGACTAGGCTATACCTAAGCATTATTGGAGGATGCAGGGGCTGCCTCTAAAACCTTCTCGGACTTATGTGTTCATCTTTTATGGGACAGATGAGTGCATATAACTCATTTGGAGGAAAAAAGAAGGAGCCAAGTCTTCCAGAAACTACTCATAGATACACACAATATCTCTTGCCCACCTGGGCCCAGCCTTAGTTAGGTGTTCCCCTCACAGAGAGGTCAGTTCAGATCCCAGGGCTCCCAATAGACTCAAGGATAAGAAGTCCTTTACCCCTCCCTTCTCATCCTCTTTCCCCATGTGAAGACACTGGAAATGTTACTTCCGATTTCAGCTTTTGGGAGGGTTGTTGTGGAGTTTCTTTATAGGTTGGGGGCAGTTCTGGAGTCTGTAGGATTCAACCCATTTGAGCCCTTGGAGAAAAGAAAAAGACCATGAGTCTCCAGTGGCAGAAGGTGGGACTTAGGGTGTGGCCCCTAGTTTCTCCCAGGACAAACGTGAAAATACCATAGAGAAGGGGCCTTCTTAGAGAGAGCCACAACTTATGAGGGAGGGCAGCATCAAAGGAAGGGGGGAAAGAGACCAAAAAAAAAAAAAAAAAAGGCTTTTGGAAGTTTCTGGAAAGCCAGTTTGGAATGGCAGATGAGGGACCTAAAGACTAAAATCCTGTCAGGTTTATTTTGTCCACAAACTGTATAAGTTTTTATCTTTGTGATCTCTGCCCCTTTCCTATCTCCTTTAAAGGATATCCCTGAATCTTGGAGAAGCGACTTCAAGGCTGAGGCCTATTTGGAGTAACCAAATTTTTGATCCACTGGAATACATTTTTGGGAAGGAGCAAAGAGGCAGCCTTCACTCCTGCCCCCACCTTCCTTTAGCCCCAATTGCCCCAAACCCTATACTGAATAATTAAATTTCCCCACAGATTTGAAATGCCTCCCTTAATATATGTACATCTCATATATGTGAGTCTTGTTCTACATACTCGAGTTTATTTCACTAATATTTGTAGATTTCCTCTTCACTAACAAATCTATTTTATTTATTGTAGCCTCATTGATATATTTTAATGTTTTATTCCATGATTTTCTCATTTGTTTCATATGTCCTATACTCTCCTCCCATCTTCCCCAATTCTCTTAAAGTTTTTCTTTGGTATTTTAATCGAGATTGCATTGCATTGAAATTATAGATGAATGAAGGATGAATTGACATCTTCAGAGTATTGATCCTTCTTATACAAGCATGAAATAGATCTTTCCATTTTTTTCAGCATTATTTTTCTGAGTTGGCTCCTGTATATAAAAAGCGTCTTAGAAAGGGTTAATAGAGAGAGGCCATTGGCTTCTTTGCAGAAGGGACCAAGGGAGCCCTAATTCAGAGCCAGTCAGTGGGGAGCAGTTGCGCCCTTCGAAGAGAACAGCAGGTGGTGTCCCCTGGTCCTGCTGATTCTAAGGGGGCTGGGATGGGACTGGGAGCATGAGGGAGGCAGTCTGGGATCTGGGGCCTAACAGGAGGTATTTGTGGTTCTCCAGCAGAAGCCCCTGCCCAGGTTTCTCTGCCCCATATGCTGCACACACACACCAAGGCTGGGCAGCTCTGGGAACAGAAGCAGGTGCGAGGCCCTAGGGGACACTCTGGCGGGACAGGAGGGCAGTCTGGTCCATCTCAGGATGATAGGTGGTATGACAGGGCCCTGGGGCCCCAGAGGAGACCCGGCAGTCAAGACAGCAGGGGGCGTGCTAGGCTTGTGCTTATCTCTTTATTGTTTCAGTCCAGAGCCCCTGCAGTGGGGGAGGGGCAGGTGTGAGGAGGTGGGCGCCCCTCCCACCAGCCTGAGACCGCTCTCTGCCTCTCTCCTCGCCTCTCTGCTCCTCTTCAACATCTCATTCACTTTCTCTCCTTCTGAATCTCTTGCTCCCACATCCGGCACCTTCGGGAATTCCCTCTTGCAGCCCCTGCTTTCTAAGCCCACCCTGGGCCGGGGGGAAGGAAAGTAAGAGACCATGGGAGTAATTCAAGTCTCCCAGTCTCCACAGGGGCTGGTCCCCCTGGCTACTGGCCTGGCTTGCTGAGGAGGACGCCCTTTCTCTCTCCTGGGCTGGGAGCTGGGGAGGTCCACAGGGCTCAGTCCTGGCCCTGCAACGTCCCAACACCCTGCTCTGAAGCTCTTTGTAGAGCTAGAGACTAGCGCCTGGCATCACGGAGGTGGAAAGAGCGAGGTTGCTACTCTGGCCTGGGTCCGTCCGGCACAAGAGTCAGGCTCATTCACTTGCAATAGCCATGACTCATGGTTGGGGTCTGCAGAGGCAGCTGGGTGCTCCCTGTAGCTGGGCAGGGATGGGCCATGGTCCCTGTGGGGACCACAAGGGATGATCAGTGAGAAGGGATCAGAGGCTGTGAGGGTCGAACTGGAGCTGGGTGTCGTGTCCTAGGATGAAAGGACGCTGGCTTAAGGAGGCAGTGAGGACAGGGGCGAGGACGGTCTCTGGTGGCAGAGGGTCTCTGGCTTTAGAGCACCTCATGTTGCTGCTGTGTGGCCTCACTGACGACCTGGGGAGGAAGAGAAGCCCAATTTAACCCAGTGCTGGCCAGAGAATGGAGCTTCAGTCCTGAGCCACCTTCCCCCAGGGCAGCAGAACCCCTTTTGTCCCCCAGCCATGGCCCTAGATCTGCACAGTTGGTGGAAGACAGTCCTTTCAGACACACCCATAGCTCCTACCAAGGGTAAGGGGACTAGACAGACCACTCACTTCCCCATCCCGAGTCTCGATGGTCTTGATCATCACCGTCTTCTTGGTATGGACCTCGGACCCCCTCTGCTCAGGACTGGTTTCTGTAATAGACCCATGGCATGCTCAGCCTGACCAAATCCAGGCTGGGCTATACCAGAGACCACAACTCCAGCCATACTGGACAGAGCCCTGGTGGACTCCCATCATCCTTAAGACAGGTTTGTTACTTCTTTAAGACTTTAGCACTTGTCCTTGAGCCTAGCATCCCAGGTGGCTCTGCTGTCCTTGGGGTCAATCCCACAGTTAAGAGGGGCTCAGGAGCCAACAGATTTGCTCCATGGGCGGGCAGGCTGGTGTAGGACTACAGGGGACCCCTAAGGTCTAGGTTGCACAGCACTCACACTCCCCATACCTTCTTGCTTTCTCCCCACCCCTAGGCTTCTGGGATTCCTCTCCTCCAAGACAGAACCCCAAAACTCAGTATCCAAACACTCTTCAGAGTACCTCTAGTACTCATCCCCCTTTAAGACTTGGGTGGAACAACTTGATGTCTTCACGAAAGTGAGACAGAACAAGACAGTCACTGATTCATTGTGTTGGTGGTCAGTCACTTGCCCTTCTGTGCCTCAGTTTCCTCACTAAGGACACTGAGTGAAATGATAATGACAATGCTTGCCCTATCACAGCCACAGGGCTATTGACTGGAAAAAACAACACGCAATTCTTGTAGTTTTTTTGTACTGTTATTTTAAATGCAAGATCCATACTTGGTGTCTGTATAAACAACTAACTGAAAAGAGAGGTTCTGAATTTTATAGGGAGGGTCAAATTTAGGTCCTTGGGCATTATGGGTTTGGTGTTCCCGAATTTCCTTAGCAAGCAACTAGGCTATGATGAACGTTATAACTTAGTGGAGCACAGCATGTATTTTTTCCTGATGGAAATGAACATCGAAGATAGAAAGGGTTTGATCTAGGAAAGGAGAAGCTGCCAAGAACTCCGACTTGGTTTCCTAATGTATCATTATCGTGTGTTTCTCTGCTCTCTGGGGTTGGAAAGCCACTCAATCTGCATATTACTAATGTCAGAATGGCAGAATGCCCTAAGAGCTCGTTCTTTTCATTGTTTGGCGTTGCTAAGATTTGGCTTCATTTTTTCAGACGTGCATCCAACATCTTGCTCTAGCAAACTGGAGGTGTTCAACAAGCAGCCCAGGGGGCTTGGCAACACGCTAAACAACAGGCGGTGTGGGCCTTCTAGCCCAGGAAGTATGAGATGCTCCTACTGCCAGGCTCCCACAGACACCCTTGATATTTTCAGAGGTTTGGGATTCAGAACAGAGGCTGCTTACTGATGCCCAATAGTTCCAGAAGGTGCAGAGGACACAGTTAATATAATACAATTCAAAGCTGTCTCTGTCAGAAGGTGCCTCATCTGCCTCTACTTAAACTGCCCCCCTACCCTAAGCAGCCCCTTATCTTCTTCCCCAAACCCCAGGCCTGTTCCTGGCCCCATGGTTTCATCCTCCCCACTGGCTGGCCTTCGGCAGTGCCTTCCAGCCTCCACCTCCAGCACACACTCACCTCGGAAGTTGAGGGCAGAGAAGGTCTGGATGGGGAGGTTGATCCTGAAAGGGGAGAGACCAAGCCCCAAAGAGTTAAGAACCCTCTCATCTCTCCCTGCAACCACTCATCAAGACTCATCCTAATCCTCCCTAAACACCATCCTCAGCTGTCTCAGTCCCACTTACTCCAACACTCCCACTGCCCACACTGCTCAGGGTGCTCAGGGAATGGGGTCAAAGGCTGCAGCTGTCCCAGGACTATTCCCTTCTGGGAGCATCGGTCATTTCAACTCCAACCCACCGGCATGATACCAGGACACCCATCCCCATGGCACCCTCCAGTTCACCAGGATCTCCTTCTTGCTCCTGGCTCTGGAGGATGCATCAATAACAGCTGTGGGTGACTTCCGCTGTGTGTGCCCACCCTTCAGCCATGCCAGTTCCCAGAGCTGACCAATTATTTATATCTAATGCTCGGAAAGTCAAACACGCCTTTAGCTACCTTCAAAGGCCATCATACAGAGATTGTCATTCTATGAAATCTGGTCTCTCTTTTTGTGCAAGCCTATATCTAAATATGTGTGCTGCTTTTTTAAAATTTTCGGATATTATTTTTTATGAGTATCGAGGGGTAACAGTTTAGAGAGTCACTGACCTGTTTTAAATTGAAGTTAAATTTACATACAATGTAATGCACAGATCTTTATTCAATGAGTTTTGATCAATATCCACATGCCTGTAACTACCAGTCCAAATCAAGACACAGAACATTTCTATCACACCAGTCATGCCAGAAGCCTCCCTCATGTCCCTCTCCAGTTGTATGTTGTTTCCTGTGTCTAGAGGTAGGCTGCTCTGAGCATGTCATCTGTCTGTGTCTATTCTTCTGAGCATGTCATCTGGGTGTGCATGTGCTCGGGCCCTCTGCGTACGTGTCTCTTCACTCTCTCTCATAGCCCATCCAAGTGCAAGGCTTTCTCTCTCTCGCTCTGTCTCTATTTGTCTGTCTTCCCCCTCCCTTTCCCTCCTCATCATTCCCTACTCTGCTTTCATCTCTCCCTTGACTGGCAGTAATATTTTATTATTGGTTGCTGAATATGGTTTTTTGCTGCTGGTTCTTAATTCTGAAGGTGGATAAGGGAATACTTATATTTCTCTTTTTATAAACGTTGTTAATTAAATTGCTTTTTACCCAGGTGGCTTTGATGAATTCTCTGCAATTAGCGGAGTGGTGGCCTCTTGTCTAAAATTGTTTCCAGGTTTTGTTGAGGTGATCCTGCACCCTGGGGGCAGGGGTGCCCCCCCAGCACCCAGTCCCCAGCCCCTGCCTCGCCCCTCACCTGCTCTCCTCGCCCTCCAGCAGCTTCCGGTAGGTGGCAATCTCCACATCCAGGGCCATCTTGACATTGAGCAGATCCTGGTACTCGCGCAGGTGGCGGGCCATCTCATCTTTGAGGTGCCGGATCTCCTCCTCCAGGCGCGCGATGTTGTCCTGGTAGCCACTGGCCTCACTGGCAAAGCGGTCCTCCAGCTCCCGCATCTGCCTCATCAGGGAATCATTCTACAGGGGAGGGAGAGCCCCAGTCAAGGACAGACTGTCCAGGGAGGAGGACACGAGGGGCCCAAGATGGAGAGAGACACAGCCTTGGGACTGGGAGGTGACTCCAGATGGTCAGATGCAGCAGCTGTTGACAGCTTCTTAGCCAAGGAATCCTGAACTCAAATGAAGTCTATATGTGGACACTCAGAATAAAACAGACAAAAGGAAGCATCTATGTTCAGACCCTCAGCCAGGGAGATGCCTCCAGGTACTCTTGGACTGCTTAGCACCCAACTGGAATCCACTTCTCTGGTTTTACCTCATTGTAGATTTGAGGAGACAAAGCCCCAGAGAGGATACAGGATGTGCCCAAGGTCACAGAAGGAGGGCGTGAGCTGTAGACAGCAAGGGGCTGGGCCCAGCAAGGTGGGCAGGGACTCACTGTGCCCTTGAGGGCGTCGATCTCACAGGTGTAGGACTGGATCTGGTGTCTGTACTCCATCATCTCCTGCTTGGCCTGGCGCAGTGCGTCATTGTTCTTGTTGGCCGCCTGAGTCAGGTCTGACACCTAAGGGTGGGGAGAGGCCCAAAGATGAGGCTGCAGAATGCAGGGAGGGGAGAGCAAGGAAGCATGGAGACACTGGGCCCACTCTCCTCCCCATGGATGGAGCCATAGGCAACACTTCCAAGCTGGGATGGAGGGGGACAGAAGTGCCAGTGTCCCTGGGCCAGGTCACCCACCTTTGACTTGTACCACTCCTCAGCTTCAGAGATGTTCTTAGCCGCGATGGTCTCGTACTGAGCCCGGATGTCCCTGAGGGCGGCGGTGAGGTCTGGCTTGGACATGTCCATCTCCACCTGGACCTGCTGTTCCTGAAGCTGGGCCTGTAGCTCACGGATCTCCTGCAGGGTGTGACTGGGCTTCAGTCCTTTCCCAGGGCCCACGTAGTACTGCCATATTCCCACTCCCAGAGCCTCACGCTGCCCGCTTTCCCTCTGTTTTCCGCATGGTCCAAGGATCCCAAGGCAGAGGGGCTGAGGCATACCTCTTCGTGTACTTTCTTAAGGAAGCCGATCTCCTCGTTGAGAGATTCGATTCTGCGCTCAAGGTCAATGCGAGCTAGAGTAGCTGCATCCACATCCTGAGAGGTCAAGCAAGGACAGGGTCACTGACTGCCCAGGTGGGGCAGAGGGAGACCAGGGGCCATGCTGAGGGGAAAGAAGGGGACTCACCGCTCGGAAGGCAGCCAAATTGTTCTCTGCTTCTTCTTTCAGCTGGATCTCCTCCTGCAGCCTGGCCAGGACAGTTAGAGGGGAATAAAGCTGGCAGCGGAGACAACTGGCTAGGGGCTGACCGGGGTGTGGGCCCAGGACATAGGGGGAAGGCCTGGTAGCTCAGCAGAGACAGGAGGCCCAGAAAGGGAGTGGCAGAGGCCCCGCCCACCCAGGGAGGGCACGGGAAGTGGCCCAATCTCTGCCCTAGAGCCACACCCTCAAAGTCCCCACCAGACTGTGACCTCCCTGGGGTTAGGAACTGTGCCTATTTTATCCACCTCTGCTCCTGGTTTCCAGCTCCAGCCTGACCCACAGAGCTGCTCAACTAATGTTTGTGACTTTGGTGACAGGAGGATGACTCTGCTCACTTGGCCTGCCAGAAGCATGACTACTCCATACTTGCTGCCTTTTCTGTACCAGGAGCCTGGGGGAGCCTACCATCGGGTCCTCTCAAGCTCTCTGAAGGCTGCAGCCCCCCTACCCACTTTTCCCCAGCAGGTCCATTCACCTCCTGAAATGACACAGGCTCAGCTAGGCCCAGGGGCCAGGCTCCCCCTTCATGCCCCTCCCCAGGACCTCAAGGCAGCGGAGCTGAGAGCTACAGCTTGGATTTCCAGGCCCCCCCTCCCGCATCTCAGCCTGCCCAGCGTTCCCTGTGTCCTGTCAATTTCCCCTCTGCCTCTGACTGCGCTACACTCTAGGTTTCCTCCAGCCCTTCCTCCACCCATCGGCCTGCCTCACCCCATCAGCATCACCTCGGCCTACCAAAATGCCTTTTAAGGGGGCTTCTCACAGGTCCCCGGTTTCCACCCACGATCCATCTCCCCAAGAAGACGTTTCCCGTGTGGGACTGGGGCACAAGGGAGAGACCTGGAGTCCATCTCCCTTTGAAGGACACAGGTGGATGACCCTCTCTCCCTGCGTGGGGCGGGAGGGGCTCCCTGGCCGCGGGAGAAGGCAGTGCTGCCGGCTGGGCCCCGCCCCGGGCCTAGCCCCTGCACCCTGCCCGCAGGAAGGGGGCCCGGCAGGCCCTCACTTGGCCTTGAGGCGCTGCAGGTCGTCGAGCAGGTTGTCGCGCTCCACGTCGACGCGGGCGCGCTGGTTGGTGAGCACCTCCACCTGGCGCCGCAGCTCCCGCAGCTCCTCCTCGTAGAGCTCGGCCACGCGCGTGGGCTCGCGGCCCTTGAGCCGGTTCACCTCGGCGGCGAGCGCCGCGTTCTGCTGCTCCAGGAAGCGCACCTTCTCGATGTAGTTGGCGAAGCGGTCGTTGAGCTCCTGCAGCTCCACCTTCTCGTTGGTGCGCGTGGTCAGGAACTCCTGGTTCACGGCGTCGGCCAGCGAGAAGTCCA